GGGCAGTTGTTTATGCACAGCTTTCTTAAGGTCCTGCCACAGCTTTTCAATCGGGTTGAGGTCTGGACATCGACTAGGCCAGGGGTCCTCAAACTTTTTAAACATGGGACCAGTTCCCTGTCCCTCAGACATTGCTGGGGGCTGGATCATAGTTTGAAAAACAGGGGGGTGGGTCCCAGAACAAAGGAGGAACGTTAGTGAGCAATTGCTGTGCGTTCCAGCAGCTGCTGTTTTGGTGTAAATGGCGTTACGCTGCTAAAGGAATGCGCCCTGAGATGAAAGTGCGCAGCCACGCAGACCGAACACAGAAACTGCTAAGCTTCCGGAACAGCCCGTGTTTCTTCCCTGACACCCCGGCGGGGCCGGCGGAATGACAATCTCTCCCTGGACCCCGCGGGCGGGCGGCCGATTGATTGCTATATGTTGTTTAGAGCGGCTGGACCTATTTTAACTGCTTGAAGACCAGGTGTTACACCCCCTTCCTGTCCAGGCCATTTTTTAGTGTTCAGCGCTGCGGTACTTTGATTGACATTTATTCCGTCCTGCAACGCTGTACTGAAATAAATGTTATACCATTTTTTGGGGACACATAGAGCTTTCTTTTGGTGGTGTTTAATCACCACTGCGGTTTTATTTTTTTACTATATTTTGGGGAAATTACAGAAAATGTTTACATTGTTAGGAAACATTTATTATCGCCCAATTTTTTGGTAAAACATAAAAGACAGGGTCACGTCGGGTAAATAGACACCAAACATGTCAAGCTTAAAAATTGCGCGCACTCGCAAAAAAACACCATACCCAAAATTGACCATAGGCGACGCTTTAAAAACTTTTACAGCTCATCAGTTTAGTGTTATCAGTGATTGATGGCCCTAGAATTATTGCTCTCACTGCGACGTTCGCGGCGATATGTAACATGTTCGGCATAATGGGCGCAATCGTCGTTTTCGCAGGTATGCGCACCCGACGCATGTTTGTATGTATGGGTGAGGACTTAAAAAATAATTAATTTTTTTTTTTTTTTTTTAATGTGTAACTTAAAAAAAAATTTAATCTTTAATTTTGTTTCCTATTTTTTTCCACTTAACTTTATTGCTACAGCTGTAAATAGGGGGCTAAGAAACCCCCTATGTGATGGCAAAAGATGTGACCGGTCCTCTTTATGGAGACATCAATGGGTCTCCAAGACCCCTAATGTCACCTAGGACCCCCGAAGAAGCTGATGAAGGAGAGATCTGCTTCATCAGCTTCTCTCCAGCGTCTGAAGCTGGAGAGTGACACAAGAATGCGGAAGTGATGTAATGTACATCACTTCCGCATTCTTACAGCGGAGAGGGGACCGGAGGGAGGTCTTGTACCGACCTCCCTCTGATCCCCTGTGACAGAGGCACTATGCTGGATCAGCGTGACAACGGGAGGGGGGGACACACGGGCCGACCGCCCATACAAGCGATCCGCCTGCTCTATAGCCGGCGAATCGCTAGTATGTTTACATGCATCGCTGCCTGTATTTAAATTGACTGGATTTCCCGCTCGCCGCAAGGCGCGCGCAAGTGGGCGTGGCTTATCTAAATAGCTGCCGGCCGTTTATTTTACAACGGCCGGCCGGTAGTTGAGGTAGGGGCCTGCAGCTCCCCGGCCTTGACACCCGAACGGGCCGGGCCAAGGACCCTGGTGGGCTGGATATGGCCCGCGGGCCGTAGTTTGAGGACCCCTGGACTAGGCCATTGCAACACCTTGCTGCTTTTCTTTTTCAGCCATTCTGTTGTAGATTTGCTGATGTGCTTGGGATCATCGTCCTGTTGCATGATCCAATTTCGGCCGAGCTGTAGGTGTCCGACAGATGGCTTCACATTTGACTCTAGAAGATTTTGGTATACAGAGGAGATCATGGTCGACTCAATGACTGCAAGAGGCTCAGGTTTTGTGGATGCAGGGCCGGCGCTACTGTAAGGCAAGACAGGCAGCCGCTTGAGGGCACCGGGGGTGGGGCGGCAAAATTCCTTGCACGGGCCCTGCACTGTAGGGAGAAAGGGTCTGGCGGCGAACGGGATACGTGCGGTGGGCAGTCAGGGGAGGCGTGGCTTAGGTAATTTATTGTCTCTAGGTAGAGACAGAGTGTGGCTTCTGAGCATCGCACTTCGAAGGGGTGTAGAAGGCGAGGCAGAGGCAGGATGTGGGCGGAGTCTCGTTTTTCTTACTCGTGCAGTCGGGCTATCTTGGTGTGTGGCCGGGGTAGCAGGCTCTGCCTCTTGTTACTCCTTGGGCTCCTCCCACAGTATGGGCCTTGCTGCTGGGGGTCGAAATATCGCGGCTGTCAGTCGGGCAGAAAACGGAGTCCGAGGGCCCCCATGGATGTATGCTGAGCAGTCAGGGCTCCTGCCACTGGGCCATTTGCAGTGCTGTCTTCAACCTGGCCTGCATCGACGACTTCTACTGTGAGGGGTCCAGGACAGGCTTCTTCAAGGTAGGACCATGATTGTACCATGAGGTCCCTGTCATGTCAAATACTGCCTGATGGCTGCAGCCCCCTACAATGTACTGGGCACCATGAGGCTGGTCACAATGCATTGGGGGCCTCACAGAAAATGCTAAGGCACCCAGAGTGTCCTACAATGTACTGGGTCCTCCACAGCCTCACACAGTGCATTGGGGCCTCCAACAATGTTCTGAGGTGCCCAGAGCTGCCTGGGGGGGTTCTACAATGCACTGACTGTCAGTATAGCTGTGTGTGTGTGTCAGTATAGTGGTGTGTGGGTGTCAGTATAGCGGTGTGTGGGTGTCAGTATAGCGGTGTGTGGGTGTCAGTATAGCGGTGTGTGTGTCAGTATAGCGGGGTGTGTGTCAGTATAGCGGTGTGTGTCAGTATAGCGGTGTGTGTCAGTATAGCGGTGTGTGTGTGTGTCAGTATAGCGGTGTGTGTGTGTCAGTACAGCGGTGTGTGTGTGTGTCAGTACAGCGGTGTGTGTGTGTGTCAGTACAGCTCTGTGTGTGTGTCAGTACAGCTCTGTGTGTGTGTCAGTACAGCTCTGTGTGTGTGTCAGTACAGCTCTGTGTGTGTGTCAGTACAGTTGTGTGTGTGTGTCAGTACAGTTGTGTGTGTGTGTCAGTACAGTTTTGTGTGTGTGTGTCAGTACAGTTGTGTGTGTGTCAGTACACCTGTGTGTCTGTGCCAGTACAGGGGTGTGTGTTTGTGTGTCAGTACAGCGGTGTGTGTTTGTGTGTCAGTATAGCAGGGGGGGGTGGCAGTATAGCGGTGTGTGTGTGTCAGTATAGGGGTGTGTGTGTGTGTCAGTATAGGGGTACGTGTGTGTCAGTATAGGGGTACGTGTGTGTCAGTATAGGGGTGCGTGTGTGTTGGTATAGGGGTGCGTGTGTGTCGGTATAGGGGTGCGTGTGTGTGTGTGTCAGTGTAGCGGTGTGTGTGTGTGTCAGTATAGGGGTGTGTGTGTGTGTCTTATCTGTGGTGAGATATGTACACTGCGCTGTGTCCGGAGATCCCACACAACAACCAGAGAGCTCATCAATAATTCAGTGTCTCCAATATTCACACAGCAACCAGAGTATGTTCATCACCCTGGACTGACCGGGAGGGGGGGAGGAATGTCACCTGCACTGTGGGAGCGGTCACTGGCTAGGAGGGTATAACCTGTACAACTGGGATCACCAATACTACCTGGGTCACTGCCTGGAAGGGGGGTCACCTGAATTATTTGGATCACCTATCCATTGGGGTCACTGCTTGGAATGAGGGTCATCTGTACCACCGGGGTCACCTGAGAGGGGTATAGCCGGTGTTAATGTAAGGCTGCATTGGCAGTTGCCGGGGGGGCATGAAAATGCACCTTCGCCTGTGTAGGCAAAAATCCTTGCACCGGCCCTGTGTGGATGCAATACAAGCCCAATTCATCACCCCTCCACCACCTTGCTTGACAGGGGTGAAGACCTTCAAAAGTTGTGTGCAAGTGTACCTCGAAGAACTGATGCTGTTTTGAAGGCAAAGGGTGGTCACACCAAATCAATTGATTTGATTTGGATTAATTTGGGTTCACTTACTTTCCATTTGGTCCCTTGATAAAAATAAACTATTAACACTTATTTCTGAAAGCATTCTTACTTTACAGCATCTTGTCACACCTGCCTAAAACTTAGCTTCCTAATTCCTATGAAAGTAGTAAAGGTGTACTTAGTTGTTTACACATGGCTTTTCCATTTTTGCTTTATGATTGTAAAATAAAGAATGACACAATGTAATATGTGTCTGAGTTTGTATTTACCTAATTCTAAGACCTGCTAAGGATCAAGGACCAATGCAAGTGGTGCATAAGCCTATACAAATGCTGAACCTCAGGAAGCCTGACTTATAGTGCTTACTTTAATTTACAGTATTTGAACCCTTTATGGGTATACTTTAACATTTTTAAGCTACTTTTCTAAACTGTTAAGTTGATGATAGGCAGATATAGATTTTTTTAGTAAACTGTAATAGCTGTTCTGCCTACTACAGAGTAGTAGGCAGAACAATGTTTACTCCATGGGAAAAAGTATATATACGTTTCTGATAATCAGAGATCCAAATCAGACAGCATAATAAGTACAGTCTGTAATAAGCAGGTCATTAGCATTTTCTTTCAAGTCTTCTGATTTATCCTGGCTTTGTGGCTCAGAATCTTCTACATTCTAACTTGTACATCTGATTTGGTCCTGCAGTTTTAATGTTATAGGTCTTTCATCTCAAGAAGTTTCAGGTTCATATTAAGCTTGTATTGTTGCCAGAAGTTAAAGTCAAAATGGAAAAGTTATTTTTTGACTGCTGCTATCGATTACTGTTTTTTGCACATTGTTTTGTATGTTGAGCACAGTTGTATAGTAAAGTAGGAATGTACACATTTATATTTTGTTTTTACAGACCATGTAGCCAGAAATGTATTTCAGTAGGTGGAGCCTTCTTCATTTTATTCTGCATATGTAATTCTTACTATATTTTTTTTACACAGGAATCCGTTATGTCTGTATGGCTGATGTTCAGTGACATGTCAGTTGCACCATTAACCCTATATGATCCTTTGGAATTATCACTATCTGTTGTGTCCTCAGATGACCATATCTTATCCGTTCATCGACCTGTGGTGGCTGTGCACTCCTGGTCCTTGCCTGTATTGACTTTTAAGGGTCCAGGTGAAGGACCCTTGCTGCGTACTTCTCTCTACTTGCCAGAGCGATGCAGGGGTGATTCTTCAGGATTGCTCAGTGCTGGCTATGTTCGAGTTATGTTTCTAAGAAATGTAACAGACGATGGTGAATATCCTGGAAATGACATATTACAGAGTGACAGTGACCTAACTTCTAAGGATAGTGATACAGCCTTACCCGTAAACAACATTATTCCTGGCACTAGTGACATAATACTAAGAGGTGATACTGCAAGCATTGAAGATGATGAATCTGTTTCTAATATTGATGATATTGTCACAACCCGTTGGGGAATACCTGGCTTAGAAGAAGGACTCTATGGACTTCTTGCTCTCTTCTCTTTGCTTACCCTCCTATTTTTTATTAGTTGTCTGGCTTTTATCAATAGACACAGAAAAAAATCAGCACCAGAGGGTCCTGGGAATCCTGAGGCACCAAACTGGGTATGGCTGGAAGGGTCTGAAGCTAATGACCCAAGGTCCCAGGGAGGAGTGAGTGAAGAGCAGGAAGAAAGAGAACAGTGGGAAGGAAGAGAGACAGGACAACAAAGTCTCACCAGTACATTCCACCCAGTGAGAAATTCTCAAGGGCCAGAGACCACTAGTGGCCAGAACTCTGATGTTGGTTCCTTCCCTACACCTGCAAGCCACTCTAGAGCCTGCTTGGAAGCTAAAAAGCCTGAACTGCTTTCTTTAAGATCGGCAATCACACAAGAAGATAGAAAAATGGAAAGAGGCCCCGATGATCCCTATGTGCGCTCTATCTTGGTAGCCAGTGAAGAAGATATCATGTGGGTATGCAAAGATATGGGTATGAGGGAACCTCAGGAAATCCTGAGTTACATGGAAAAAATCAGAAGCGAAACACCTCATCAAGGAGAAAGAAGAAGAGAGATTACACGGGGTATAGAAATGAATATAGCAGGCACGAGTGTTAGAAGATTAACTTAGTGTTGATATCAAAAAGTATGGTAGTAAGCAAACAACTTAAGGTTAAGAAATATTAATGCTCTGAGAGTTTCCACCTTCTTTAGACTCTGGTAGTAGCATATGTATTTTTCATTCCAGTGTTATGCAAAAGAGGTATGAGATTCTACGTTTCCTATTGTTTTTCAGCAAATTATCTGAAACCATAATTACATTGTATTCGTACCTGGTTAAATAAGTAAAGTTTAAGTATATATTTAAAAAAAGCAAAAATTCACATTTTCATGAGCTCTCAAATGGTGAAGAAGTGCATTATGTATACTTGCAAGAAAAGCAAAGGGATGCAACAGTAGTGTTATATATACATGATCGATTTGTTCATCTAATAAAACAAACAGAATCTCAAAAGACTTTGTTTTTGTTAAATCTATTAGTGACTTTATTTGAAGAAATCAAATGAGCAATTGCACATTTGTAGATGAGCAAAAAATAGGTTCGAAAAACTAGGACAGCATGAAATTGCTTATGATCTTAAACGTTAAAGCCATTCCCAAGTCTTCGTATCATTAAATCTTGTTTTTGTAGTTTTGTGTGTTTAAAAAGTACCTAAACCCAAATACAAAAATGTATTATTTTGCAGATTACCAATCCTTAGAAATGGTAACTGCTTTCTTTTTTTTTCCAGGCTTTTTCCTTTCTTTTGAGCTGCAGACCATGCCAGTAGCATACTTCCTAGGGTGATGGCGCTCATTTGCCTACTGCATCTATGGAGAAGTAGCATTGTCACCCTAGGCTGCTTTTCAGATTTGAACTACAAATACATCCCCCTTTGTTCACCTCCATTAAACCGAGAACGCGATTTTTTAGTAAGTAAAGGATACAGGATAACATAACATTGTTTGAGATTTCAGTTCACAGTTATTGACAGGGACACTGCATTTGAGGCAAGATCAATAGGTAGCCACGAGTACTTTATTCATTAGCAGAAAATTTACTTAGCGTGAAAAAGACTAATGCAGCCACCACATTTATGTACTGGTAAGCTGCAATACATTAAATTTTTGTTCTTGGGTTTAGATATACTTTAAGCACTGGAGGTCAGCACCCCTGGTTTCCCAGTTGTGTCTGGTTTGTAGTGTCAGCATGGCATTCCTATGTCGGTGCTAATCACATTATCCATTGCCTGTGCATATTTAGGTTTAGCAAGTTTTAAAGATGGCCTTTGAAGCTGCTGTCAGAGGTATAACTAAAGCCAAACTCCAGCCTCAACTATTTTCTTTTTTTGCTTTGACGGTGTTAACCATTATCAGGTCTTTATTGCAATCTGTGAACATGTTGGAAAGATTTCACCTCACTTCTGTCCTTGTGACTAAACAAGAAATAAGAAGATCTTTCCATTTGGGACACAAACGGCAATTAAAAAAAAAACTAACACCACTTTACAAAACATTTTTACGGGCCCACATTAAAGAGATTTTGCTTAATTGCTGTCTCCGTTACCACACAGGAAGTAAAGGAAAATGTCCCTCAGAAAGCATAAAATGTCCCAAAGAAAGCATAAAAAGCTGACAGATGTTCCACCCTTCTCCACTCTATCTACAGATAAAAACAAATTTGGCTAGTGTGAGGCGAGTGAAAATCATTGGTCCTCATAGTTCGAGGAGACGTGCGACAATTAAACTGTCACACGTCGGCTCAATAGATCGGGAAGTGAGCGAACACATACCGCCGCTCGCTCACTTCTTGATCATCTCTCTGCAGAGAGCCGTGACTTTCAGTCACGGCTGCCTGCAGGGATTCCCCCCCACTGCGATCCTCCAGCGCTGACTGGAGTAACGGACGGGGAGGGGGAAGGTACAGCTGGCTCTGCCTCTAGATAGGCAGAGCCAGCTGTCACTCACGCAGCTGGGTGGATCTCGACAGTAATGTCAGGATCTGTCCCGGCTGCAGCGGTCTCTGTATACTGCGAGTTGTATACCAGTCCTGCCAGTCGATCCGGTCATATTCCAGCTTAACAGGCTGACATTGCTGTTCAATAATGTATTCAGAGTGTTGTCACCCTGTGGAATTGTAGCTTTAGATGGACTTTAAATAAAGAACAAACAAATTAAAGCCTAACTCCTGCTTTCACTTTTTATGTTTACAGGAAAATTCAGGATTTGCATATAACTTTAATTGCCTGTCTTGACATCTGTTAATTATAGAGGTGCACCGAAATGGAAATTTTAAAACCGAAACGAAACCAAAATTTAAAAAATGTCAGGCCGAAACTGATACCGAAAATGTTTTTTATTTCTTTACTGCAAAAATGGCTCTTTCGGCATTATGCCAAAAGTGCCATTTTCGGCCGATATATCGGTGCATCCCTAGCTAATTGTTTTGAAATTAGTTTTCACTGAAGGTAATAACTGCTGGATTTTCTCCTCAGCTCATTGAAGGACACAGCAGAGGTCTTGAATCTCTAGCAAAGGAGTTATAGCCCCACCTTCAGGAGTAAGCAACTAATACAAAAAAAACAAGCACAGCCTAGGTGTGGCCCCAGATGGCAGCTCCGTTTGTTTTGGCTAATGTCCAGAAGTAAGGACCAAAGTTACCTGTTGGGAATCTTAGTTCTCTTTCTTTTTGGAGGGCATTTTTAGTTTTCTTTAGTCTTCAAGACCTTTAATCAACAGCTGAGCTGGGTGAAGGGCTGGATAATATGGATCGTTTTAGTCCCACCAGCTCAGCCATTGAGTGCATGCAGATCCGTAGCTATGTGCAGGGTTGGCTGCGACAGCTCTTTCCTGGATCCTAGGGCAGCTTGTGAGTGTTCTTTATGGCGGCACATATGGCCAAGTGACTTGTTGCTTTGTCACAATGTTGCCCAAGGCAGACAATACCATTGTTCCATAGGGAGGCGCCTGTCCAGTCAAGATACTTTCTTCTCATCCTCCCATTATACTTTGGGGTGGCAGGAGTGATTTAGGGGTACCTCTCTTCCCTCTGCTCCCCTTTGTGTGTGTGTCTATCAGGGGTGCATGTGCCATACACCATCAGCAGGAGACACATGCCTGGTTGCCCAGTCAACCAGTTGCTTTGTCCCGGGGGGTGGGGGGGCTTGACCCAACCTAAGAAGACTTGCTTTTTTTTCTCTGCAAGTTCCTGATGGTTTCAGTCCCTCCTGTGGATGCTTGTGTCCACAGTTTACCTCTCCAGTTATCTTCTCTCTGTGTCAGTCCACTCGTGCTCTGGGGGGAAGTGTGGTGCTGGGAGACTCAACTGACTCCAGTACACTTTGAATCCTGCAGGTTACCTGAGGCGATGAAAGCTGATAAGGTTCTGGTGCACTGCCCTCTATTTTCAAGGGGCAAAGCTTTATGGCAGTTTGTCATCTTGGACTATGTTGGGCTCTGTGGTAACTTGTGTCCACAATCAACCCCCTATAAGTAGCGTTTCATCTGTTGGAGCTTTCCTTCTTCTTGGCCTGTATCTCTCCTTCCTCAGAGTTATCTTGGCTCCTTCGACCATGGCCCTTCCCTAGACTCATTTCCAGGAGGATCTCTGTGGTCAGGATTCCTGGGCCTTGTAGCACACCTGCATTTGCTGAGGTTGTAAGAAAGATTTCCATCTCTGAAAGATCCTTGTCTGATAAATTCATGGCATTACAGCTGTTTTTCAGCCACTGCACTCCTTTTGCATGCAAAGGCCCTTCAGTCCCTAAGAGGACTACTAGAAGGTAACTGCAGTGTCTCTATGCATTTTCCCTGGACCTCCTCATGAGGGTTGTCTCTGGGGGTAGGAGTACCTTATGTCACAGCAGCAGGAAGCCTGCCCCTGCTGTGTTTTCGGGGCACACGCTGTGGGATAAGATGACGTGATAAAGTGACGTAGCGTGTAGGGAAGAGCTAGTGACTTAATTCTGCCTTCTGCTAGGTGAAGCTGGTCTTGGTGAGGAGAGGAAGAATAACACTTTGGCATTCCCCGGCACACCGTAAGGCTGATGTTGCAGAGTGTTTTAAATGTGGGTGCTTTAACTTTTTAATAAAGATTTCCAACCTATATGAGTCACATTATGGTGTATACTTTTCTCCTTTGAGTTATTTGGCAGCAGAGGGGAGGAGAGTTCTCTTGGGTGATTTACATCCCACAGGAAATCCAAGAAGGAGCTGAAATGATGAAGAGGCTGATCTACATACTAAGTCTTTGTGACCCAATCGCTAACAAAGATAGGGTCCATAAAAGAAGGTGAGTGGTGAGTTGGTTGGTGAGGAGACACAAAGAGCACGGAGAGGGGAAAAGGTTAATTGAAACTTACAAAGTGGATTGGATGTCGTTCCAGTTTTAAGAGGATTGTTGAAGACACTTTGTGCTTTGGGGTTAAGAGACACTGAATAGATATATATGGACACTTAGGAGCACGAAGGTGGAAAAGGTTGTAAAGTGGATTAAATGTCTTGATTTAAAGTGACACTAAACTCAGGAGTTAAACCTTAAAAATTTATTCAAGTACCTTAACTATTAACAAAAATGTATCTTATTTGTTCATCACTTGACTGTAGAACCTCAAATCATCTCTGAATTGGTGCGGAGGCTACTTTACAACACACACAAGGTCCATAGGGAACAAAAGTAGCCACCCTCCAGAAGGAAGGACAGTGTCAGCCCTAATTCAAAGTTGATTTGAGCATCTACAGCCACGTAATACACAAATAAGCTACATTTATGTTAATAGTTGAGGTATTTGAATTAGGGCTGCAACAACTAATCGATGATAATCGAGAATGAGAATTGTTGCCAATAGGGCTGCAATAACTAATTGACTAAGTCGAATATAATCGATGATGGAAAGCTGTATGTATAATGTATTGCTGGGATTTGTTGTGTTCCTATATATCTGTGGTATTCTGCATTGCTCCACTGTATAATGTATTATTGTTGGGATTTGTTATATTCCTCTATAGCTGGTGGTATTCTAATCAATATAATCAGGGCTTGAACATTTTTAGGGTGTCTCACCAGTCAGTCAAAAATTTCACCTGTCAGCATGATCTGACTATAGCCTTGCATTTAACAGGGCTTGAAAATTAACTTGTCCTCTTGTCTGTAAAAGAGGACGCCAGTGCCGGACGAGTCACAGCGCGCTCCGTTTTAACCCTTTCCCTGCCACCGCCGTAAGGCATACGGCGGAACAAAACTGTTCCCAGCTGGCCAGGTCAGTATGCCTTACGACGGTGGAATTTACAGTTCTGCTATAAGCTCTGCTTTAGCGACCATGAACTTATAGTAGAACTGTTCCCCTGACTGTCCCCTTTAAATTAATAGCTGTCATCGGCGCCCCCCCCCCCCCCCCCCCCCCCCCCAATCTC